GGGCGGGGGGGGCGGGTGGCCGGGAGCTGCCGATGCCTCTTTGTGCGGCGCCGGCGCCCGGCACTGCGGCCTCGGGGCTGCCCGGCACAGCCGGGGCGGCGGTAGGGACACCCTGAGGCCTGGCCTAGCCCGGGGGGGGGGTCACCTCCTTGGACCCTGTGCCACCGCGCACAGCCGCTCGGCACTGCCGCACACCCTTCCCAGCCATGACAGTCACCATCACACACCCCTCCACCAGCGCACAGCCCTGCACCGCACAGCCCTGCTGCACACCCCACTGCCTTCTCGCACCCCGACACCACCGCACACCCCACCTCCTTTGCATACAGTCATTGCACACCGCTACCAACCGCCATGCACCCCACACTGCTACCACCACCACCACGCATCTTGCAGCCTGCACACCCCGCTCCGCCATCGCACCCTTCCAGCCACACACCCGCTGCCGCCTGTACGCCGGGCTGTGGCATCACCCCTGCCCAGCTGCCGCAGAGCGGCTCCGTCTCGCAACACCCACAGCTGTCACAGCCACTGCCCACACCCGTAACACAAAACCGCAAAGCAACACCCTATAACACCCAGCGCTGGCACAGCCGCTCCTGGCTGTCACCAACGCTGTGCACGTCAACCGCACAACTGGTCGTCGCCCACACAAACACCCCCGTGCAACACCCCACGACCATGCAGAACACCCACAGCCTTCACTCCCACAACAGCGACTCCATTACACCTGGCTGCACAACCACCGCCCACCCCCAGTACACCCCACATGCTGCCAGGGCTGAGCCCAGGCCTGGGGCTGTGCCCAGTCCTCAGGCCTGGTGCTGTACGTGGGGCTGTAGCTGACACCCAGGACTGTGCCCGACGTGTGGGGCTGTACTGGGGGCTCTACCCCATGCCCAGGGGCACAATCGGGGCTGCACCTGATGCCGGGCACTGTCCGTATGCCTGTGCCTGGGGCCTGAGGCTGTACCCGGGGCTGTGCCGCTGTGCGGGTTGTACGCGGGGCTTCGCCTGGGGCTGTGCCCAGCCGCAGTGGCGGTACCCAGGGCTGTGCCAAGGGCTGCACGAGCGCGCGGGCCGTGCCCAACACCCAGGGCTATAGCTCGGGCTGCTCCCGCGGGCAGCGACGGGGCTGTGCGGCTGCACGGGGGCCGCGGCAGGGCCTGGGGCTGAGCGCGGCGGCCCCGCGCGGGCTCCGCGCGGCTGTACCTTTGTGCATGCCGGTGTACTTGTCCTTGATGACGGTGAGCTCGTAGATCTTGCCGAACTGCTCGAAGATGGGCTTGAGGTCCTTCTCGTCGAGGTGCCGCGGGATCTGCCCCACGAAGAGTTTGATGGCGTC